GGGGGGGAGGCAATGGGGATGGGGGGGGAATGCAGTGGCTGAGTGATTAGGGCATCTGACCATCTACGATCACTAGCCCTCCATCACTGGGACCTATGATCACTAGCCCTCCACCACTGGGACGTGGGTTCCAGGCTTGCGTGGGGCAGTCACCAGGTACTTGCCGTAGGTCATCGATATTTCTCCTGGTACTCCAGCTTTCCTCTATCACCAAAACCTGGCACACCCTTAAATGACCACAGCTGTTAATAGGATGTCAAAAAGAACCTAACAAACTTGTCTTCCTGGGACCCTGTTATTTTGAAAATTTGCCACCAAAGCAATTATGTCATACCCCACAGTGAATCAAGGTAGACCTATAATTAAACTCCTCATAACCTGTCAGTATCAGAACCTCCAGGTTGTCCCTACTGTGTAAAACAAAGACACAGAAGTCACCTAGAAGGAGGTCAATGTTTATAAATCATCAGTGTATTTGCTACTTACATAGGAGACAATGGTACCAGACTTTTTATATTACACTTATTCACATCCATTTTCTCTTTGTCAAATTACTGCTGATAATAAACAACTTGTAAGTCTTGAATAATTCATTTTACGGGATTTGATGATGTGGCCATTAACGTCTCCTAACCTTCCTATATATTTTCTGAATAATTCTATTCCCTATTGATAGCTTGTGATGTCTACTGTGATTGAAAATATTTATGGGTTATTTATTCCAAAGTGAAAGTTAGCTTACGAGAGTGTCAGCAATCTACTGAAGCTTTATACAAGGCAGAATACAACCTCTTTTATTAATATCTATATAGTCACATCTCCTGTGTAAATTAACGAGGAATCCTTTTATAAAGTGAAATCATTGAAGAAGGTTGGTTAAAGTAATTTCATCAAACACAACAGAGCAATTAACTTTTAATATCTCTTTTAGCTCAAGTTTATCCAAACAATTTAAGATGTGGGGGTCACAGGCACAAAGCAGTCTTATACTTCCATCAAAATTTGAAAAGTTGACAGACTAATTATTTCTTATAAACTTGGTATATATTTGGTGAAATAGTAAGTTGGTACAAATTTGGTGAAATACCAGTGGTAGTCTTTATTTAGAAATAACACATGTATGGTAATTCATGTTAAAGAATAAACAACATTCAAATCTGGATCATTTGAGTTTGAATTCTTCCATACTCTGGGGTACCAGGCACTTTAATTCATGGTTAATATATAAACTATCTGAATGTAGACTATTTTTATTGACCCAAGGTCCTGCAATTTGAATACTGGATACCATAATATCAACTGAGCATATGCATTCATATTCTGTCTTTGTAGTATTGTAACGGACCTCATGGTTTATGGTTTCCTACTTACTTCTTGCCTTGTGAGCTTTTTTATTTGTTGGATACCATCGTATTTCAGTCATGTCTGGGTTCAACATAAACGTGCGGTGGTACTGGCGACTGTTGGAACGGACTTTTATCAATTCGCTTCCCTTCTGCATAAATGACAGGCAGTCTTGAGCTGGAAATATAAAACAGAATTAATCATTACCAGCTTTACTGAGTGAATAATGAACCTGTTCCACACAATTAGAATTGACAAGTTTGTAGCTTACATAACCAATGTTATGGCACTGAAACATCATACTTGCCAATGCACCCTATTTTGGAGGGAGACTCCGGAATTTTTACCCTAAAACTGAGAATTGTGAATTTGCTTAAGTATTCCTATTTTCTAAGATCTGATAATTTTATCTGAAAGAACAGCTCAAAAGATGCCATTCAAAAATCTTCTTTTTCCCCTAGGGTGTACATACACACATTCTATTTATGCTGTCAAATCCTAGCACACGTAATCTCCCCCATGGAAATTTCAAAAAGTTGGCAAGTATAAAACATGTACAACATGCAATAGTTTTCAAGGCCAAAATATTTGCTAAAAAAAACAAGAGATCCCAGAGGGATCTTGGCGCCCACCTTTGTACCATCTTCATTAGTTCTTTGTCAGTTCGATCTTTTCTCTTCTTTCCTCTAATCTGTTTGATCGAGTCATGTTAACAGTAAATGCACCTTGAGGTAACTTTTGATCTAAACTTAATACTGATGTGTATGAAAGCCAACCTTCAAAGTGAGTTTGTCATTTCACATATTTACTAGTACAGTACTTAATGTGAAAGAAATAGAATCGATCATTGCAATATGAGAAAGATCTGTTTAGTTCTTCTTTTAATCCATTTTGTTTTTATGATCAGTCTCAAAATATAACATACACAACGAGGGATCAAGGGGAACCTACATTTAAAA